AAAGGAAGAAAAAGATGATGTGAAAGGACGGCTTTTCGAGTGGTGAAGGCAAAACCGGCCCCTCTTGCTGCTAGTCTACGGCTTCCATGGTATACGAGGTGGTTGTTGTCAACGATACGAACTGATTATTCGATTTGTTCCAATTCAAGATCCATGATGTTAGGGGGCGCTCACCGATCGTTCCCGATCAAAAACCGACAGGGCAACGGGCTCGTGGCCCGGTGAGTAGAGGCGTTGACTTCTAAACCAACAGGTCGCGAGTTCGAGGCTCGGGTGTTCCACACTTCGGGCTTGGGTATGGCTGGCTGACGACGGCTAATAAGCCAGAAATGGCCATTCCAGTCTCCCTTGTCTTTGTCGGTAATATCATTCTGTCAAGATCTATATGATCAGTGATAGAAACAAAGAGGTGAATTCCAGGAAGCAGTTAGGAAGAGGATACGATTGCTAAAACAGGAAGTTTATTGACCGGACGTTCCGGATTCCCACTCGAGCGCCTCGTCAGAGACAGTCGCGGAAAAGGGTAATGGAGGCTCAAAGAGTCCATGACACAGTTGCCAGGCCACCACGTGCCTACAATAATTAGCAACACTTGCTCCTTACTGGGGATCGTATTTGATGTGATGATTGCTTGCGGGTCCGTACCCGAATCCTAAATAATTTTGATTTGATCACCAATGTTGATTCCTGGTTTTACGATTTCTCAGTTATTTGACTGACTGGTTGGGTCAATATGAATTATTCAAAATCTGCCAAAATACCTATGAATTACGTGACCCTGATAGTCATCTGGTGGATTCTAGGTGAATTACCTAGGAAATCCTGCTTGGGCCGCCAACTTACTGTATCAGATATGGTGGATCCCAATCGTTGCAGTAGGTTGGCCGGGTAAACTTGACCCAAATGTGATAAAACTCGAGTCGTCCGACGGGGCCTCGTAGCTCAAGTGGTTAGAGCGCTGGCTGTACTAAAGCCTTCCCCTTACTACGTGGGTTCGAATCCCACCGAGGCGCCGAGTTTTTCACAGTTGGGTCAATATGAACTTGGCTGACTGTTGCCGAAACTTTTGTTTACACGCGCCCTCCCAGAGTGGCTAATTATTTTGTCCAGGAAAGATTGCAGCACAGAATATAGAGGTGGGAGGTCATTGCGCTTGCTGACCGACTGAGAACCGGAGAACCATGACTCAAGCAGCTCACGCGGCTGTCACTTTTTGCGTGAATTTCGGTCCCCTCAAACTTTAAGGTGTGCCCGGGTCCCATCAAATGAGCCGTGACCTGACAGCTAGCGTAATTTCACCTTACTGCAGCTGTTTGTTCGACCATTAGCATCCGGATTAATTTCCTAGTTTTTACGACGTACGATAAATGTGCTATCTCACGAAGTGTTAACCGAAATTCTGAAATGCGTTTTAGGTTCAAAAAGATTAGTTATGCAGGGTTGTTATGTTAATTATCATGTCACATGTTACCAAGATACCCCAGTCACAACAGGACGCCGGCTTTCTGATGAGTTCCTTATCGACCGTCTGCGCAAACTGCATTTCCAAATAAATGACTATTCAGGGAGAATGAATTTTTCCCATCGATTTTCGATGCCCTTATTGGAAAGTATGCAGCCCGGGCTGTCAGGACACCATGCCATAAACGCGTGACAAGTGAGCGACCAAGGTCATGTACCCCTGTTCACACCTTCTTTGTGCTAACTGGCCACCTATCAGCCCATGACATCCCCCTGCCATATATCCGGCCGTTTCCACAGCCTCCTCACTTGAGCAGTCTGTCGTACTCAGTACGCGTCCAGTTTTCAACTAACTTTCTGTTTTGCATACCTAACACCTATGAATTCAAATATATTTTCGGTAAGGATCTAGTGAAAGCCCCCAAGTGTCTACGGCTTACAAAGAATACCTACTATACGTGTTTAAGTAGGTCGTATTTTATTCGGTACTGTCCCGTCATGTATGTTTCGGTTTCAAAAAGCGTCCCAATTATGAGATTCTTCAGGACTATGGAATATCCGGTCGTACCGCATCGTATCAGCACATTTGTCAAGGCTGTTTATAAAGAGAACAACATGGCTCACAGGCATTACAAAATGTTATGAGTCCTATATGTTCTCTTCATAATGGCATACGGAAATATGTGATTTTCCTTGCTCAAAAATACACAATTTCTTGTTCTTGAACCCTGAACGCAAGTGTGACAGCAGTTCGTGTTCAAACTTACTCGGAAATGGCGGAAACCGAAACATAATCACTCTCCAAGTAGAAAATTTAAAGAAAATGTAGTCTGCTACCAAAGGAGTAAAAGAAAAAATATTTCTGTGTGTGTGTGTGTTGCCTATAAAATGTATTTGAATTAGTGAGGGTATAAAAAATCGCTGGGAAAAATTTATCCTCGATAAGCAGTCGTTTTTTTACGAAATATAGCCGATCCCGGCGGTTGATAAGAAGCTCATTCGAAAACCTGAACCTGACGTGAGCGGAATATCTTGAGATTGTAAGACATAATAATTAATATGATAACCGTACTTATGTAATCTTATCGAACTGAAAACACCTATCAGAATTTCAGTCAACATTTCATTACACAGCATATTTACTTAATTTGCTTTTTCCGAAACTTCTCGATGTTTCCTGCTATTGGTCTTTCAGCCTCATGATCTGGCGTCTAATGATTCCCTCCGGTCGGTTTGCAACTCCAATTCCAAGTAGTGTGAGCAGGCGACTGAAGTCTTCCAAGACATTCTTCTCCTACGGGACGCTCGTCAAAATCTGGGGCCGGTTACATTACGTCTCTTATCTCCTTTGCGCATGCACCGGATGACGAAATTGCGCGAGTACCCATTCTCCTTAATCGCCCGTCGAAAATACTGTACTTCAACAATCTTATCTTCCCGTTCACTGTAGTACGTGTCAACCGGCCGGTATATCGCCCCTAGGCAACTGCTTTTGTGGATGATTGGGTGGTTGCTGTTGAAGTTCAATAAAGACGCCATATTAGTTGCCTTCCTGAAAACTTTAGATTTTAGGCCACTACAATCTCTGTGGCAAACCAGGACATCAATGAAGGCTAGCTCTTTATTATCTTCCTCGTCCATCGCGAATTTTTTGTTCAGGAAGACGGAGTTAAGGTACCCCTTGAATGCTAGGACCTGATCCCGTTCGATGACGACGAAGGTATCATTCGCATACCGAGCACAGAATGTCGGTCTGTGCTGTCGGCAGACCAGCGACTCCAGCCGTCGCAGGATCGCCTCGGCTTTGAACCCCCAAAATCAGTGAACCGATTGGCTTGCCTTTAAACTGTTTGTCAATTGTTCTGTCGAACGTGAAGTATGCATTAATACAGAACTTCATGAGTTGAGGAATTTGAGCGTGTTCGGGAAGATTCTCCGTTCCATCATATTCGTTCTGTAGGAGTGACTTGGTGGTCTCGACTACCAGATCCTGTGTAATAGATGCAAAAAGGGATGTGATATCCAGTGATACCATGACGTTGTTTGATAAAAGACTTACCCTATTAATTTCCTCCAAGAATTGTGTTGATAAGCTGACTGCGGTATCCGATTTAGTGGTCGGAAATGTGAGCGTCGAAACAGCCACTTTGCCAGCTTGTACGTGACAAGATGTGTCAGAGAAGAGCACCCTCCTTGTACACATTTGAAAGACCGAAGAGCCCCACCAAAACTGTTTCTTGCACTCTCGCTAGGTGTCAACCGATCGGTGATATTGCACCTGAGTTCTCCATTGCCAATAACGTCGCGTTGATTACGCGTGTCAACATTTCTACGTAATTGGATTCGCATGTGACGCAGGACTAACGATCCCATAGCAAGCTTATAGCCTGCTGACAGTAGTCTGTCCTTTCCATTACGGTAGCGGAACGCTCCTTGTCCGCAGGCATGATAAAGAGTTCTTCGTCCGTCTCGAGTCCCCTTAGTACATCTGGTTTGGCCTCAGAAAGCACTTCATGCGGTCTATAAGCCGTGAGGTGGGACGACATGTGGTGTCAGATAAGGTTCTGCTTTTCGTCCGCAGCTTCCATCAAACTGATGATCGAATCCACTGCTGAAATAAGGTTTGATATCAACTGTAGTAA